ATCGCACGCATGGTCTACATCGCACGCATTGTCTTGAACTTCGTCCCATTCCTCGCCGTCATCATCGAAGCTGTCATCGTCGGCTTCTTTGTCATAACCTTCAGCTGCTGTCTGGGTATCTGGCGAGGCCTGGGTTTGCCCTTGCTGGTGGTCGAGTGTTGCATTGCATTCGCCAACATCGTAAAAGTCCTCAGCTATTTCCACAACGGTGCCAGGAGTGTTGACTGGCATACCTCTTTGGGCTCTCATCTGCTCGATCCCTTCCCCGACATCATACACATTCTCCTCTATGTAAGGGCTGGCACCTGGCATGCTAATGACATTCTCCTGGTTGAGGCTACTTTCTCCCTCACGATTAGACTGCCATTTAGACGTGCTGTAGCCACTGGTATTCCTAAGAGTTGGCTCGTAGGCCTGACGAGACTGATTCTTGTCAGCAGTTCCAGGCTGTTCATGCCCAGCTGTCTCTGCGCCGCAATCTCCCTTTTCACAATCCTGTGTAGGCTTGTTCGATTCCTCTGCCTGTGGTTTAGCCGTGGGAATGGCCCTCTCAATCTTAGACAGAACCGATGTAGCTGACGTCCTTAACATAATGAATCTCTGTTCAACATCTGAAGCAACACCAGGAGGAAAGCAAAGCCAGCAACAATCCAATACTGTATGTAAGGCCACACTTTGTTTTTTCTATGTTTCTCGTCGGCAAATTTTAACAAAAGGTATGCGGGCGGGCCAAAAAAAAAACAAAAGCCAAGGAAAAAACAAGAACAATTTCTACTGAAAACTGTATACATTTTACATGTATATGCGTTCTAGCCTAGCCCGTTCTGATTTTTAGGGAACACAGCAGTTTCGTTCTTGTTCGATGGTACAGTCTTACATGTACATTTATGCGGTGTAATACGTCTGAGTGAACATTATGGTTTCCGTTCTTATTCGCAAAAAACCCCAGTCTAGACCGTTGTCAAAAATTCGTGAAATACTAGCCTGGCCGGACAGTATTGTGCCCATAGAACTCGAGTCCCCGCCCCCCCCCCCTCCCCGGGACCGACCATGGTCAGTTTCCGAAACATACTACCAGAGGTGAAAGAAAGGGATTAATTTTTCCCCGACTGATCCTTCTATTTAGGCCATCATTTTTTATATCTGTGTTTCACGTCAGTTCAACTTCCAGGATCATATGCGAGAGGTGGAAAAATAAAAAAGTTGCAAAATAATAAAAAGGCTCATCAGAGGTGTAAAGCACTGTACATAACACAATAGCTCGTGCGTGGCATACATTCGAAAGAAAAATCGTACATCATATATACCGTAAAGTCGCGGATAAAAGCCGGGTTTGCATACAAGCACATCGCGGATAGAAGCCTGAAAATTAAACGGGTCAAATGCATATAAGGCTGCATTCGATTGTAGAAACTGGATCCCGATCCCCGCCGACCAGATCACTTTGATCGGACGGATACAATCGAATGTGCACAACCGATAATCCGTTTCAAGGCCTTAGCAACCGCGTTGCTACAGCTTATCCCGTAGTATCTGTACGCGTTGTGGTAAACTCTTGACCTAGTGTACGCATATTGCGAGTTTTGAGTAGAGACGAGTCGTACTATCGAAATGAATCCGTCGAATCCGTCTCTGGGAGGTGGGTTGACTGGATCCGAATCCGTGCTCTCGTGATCCGGATTCGTACAATCGAACATGCACAAATTTGGCGAATCCGGGTCCGGGGCTGATGGATTCGTACAATCGAACATGCCCCAAGCCTTTCGCGCGTAGAAACCTGGCTTCTATGCAAGCGCGGAGCGGGCAGGTCAAGAGTGCATGCGCTATGTACGGTGCATAGCAAAACTGCCATACCGGTAGTCAGTGATAGATCTACGCGTGTCGCGCGTAGAAGCCTGGCTTCTATGTGCACACAAGCCTGGCAAAAATATCAGCGGTGCATAATTATAAGCATGGTTTACATACCAGCCTGGTTTGCATTAAATCCTGATGCAGAAAGCGGCTTATAATATTATGCTTATAAGCCCGGCTTTTATCGTTGACTTTATGGTATAAGGCCAAAACAAATAATGACCTTGTTTCCGGTCGCCCGACCGGGCCACTTTTTCCCAAATTCTGAAACTTTTTTTGGTCCCAAATGTATACAAACGGCGGCAATGCCATGTGTGCAAGTGCACTCAACGAGTCATAACTCAGTCAAATCTCAACCGAATTCCACAATCGAAACACCCACAAGGTAGCAGAGATTCTCAGTTGTCGGCTCGAAAACCTCCGGGGTCGATACGAGCTAGAATAACGGAGCTGGAAGGACTCGAACTGTTTGCTTGATTTCTCAGGATGTACGAAAACAGGAATACACCACATGCTGTACAAGAACAGTGAGTCAGTCAACTTTGATATTGATCCTTGCCATGATATATGTACAATGTACATGTGTAGGTGCTCTTGTCCATCAATACCAGGAACCAAAAAAAGTATCCAAAAAAGTTTCATTCCGGCCGACCGAGTCTCCTTTTTGAGGGGTTGCCGACCGGAAACAAGCCTATTTTTTGTTTTGGCCTAAGTATATCTCAAGTTCTCAACTAACGATCTCCGTACAAAGCATCTCAACTGATGCTGCAAATGCAATTGATGTTCATTCAGTATCAATGTTAACCCTTTGGAGTCCATAAATTTTTAAACTGACTTGACTTATCCGCCCTCCAATCTATCGCCCAAGCACAGGACAGAAATGGAAGTAGCAACATTGGCTTCTGTACGCAAACTGCATTCTTGTTTTTGTGTTTTTTATTGTTATTTTCTTTCTTTTCCAGCAGCTAAAAGGGAAGTTCAGCCTACAATCAAATTTTCACCAGTTGTATTCCTCAGGGCGCTGAATCCAATGGTCTTGGTCCGAGGAAGCTGAGATGCTCCCTTCCTCCTCAATCCGGCATAGCCACGACCGGATCGGCTATATTGAGTCTGGTTGTACGGGCTGGTGTAAAGCTCATACCGGGAGCCACCGCCGTACCTGCTGACCCCAGTACCTCGGAAAAACTGGCGTTCACCCGCTGACGCCCCTCCAGAGCCAGACTTGCTGTCGTTCGACTGCGGAGCAGCTCGAGCGTCCTTGTATTGTTTCACAACCGAGCCCAGCGCCTCCTGGGACTCTGTCTTGGACTGGATGTGCTCCAATAGTTCCGGGCCGAACAGGGCCGTGCCCACTTTATCAAATGGCTCCTCCGCCATGGGTACCAGGCTCTTATCAAGATGCTCTAGGAACTCCTGGCACCTCAACACCGAGAGTTTACTGTTGGCATTGCCCAGCAAAGACAAGCCAGCCGGCACCATGTCCAATACAGCTTGCGGGTCCAGGCCTGCACCAGCGTCCTGTGCTGCCTTGGCCTCCATCGTCAGGGCAGAGAGAGGACCCAAACAATCCAATACGCTACTCTGTAGCGAGTACAACATGTTGTCTCGCGACCTCTTGAATGACTGCCTTACACCAGGTAAATTCAGCACTTCATGGTCTAGCTTAGGTGTGACCGCCACGTCCACCTCTGGTCGGGAAAACTGCTCTACTAGGTCCCTGCGCACCTTGCCCTTCAAGGGCTTCCTGAAGCGAGTCTGAAGGAACTGTTTTTTTTTTTATATCTGAGGACAACAGAGCATGCTCCGGGTCGTCCGTGCTCACGTCCACACACGAGGGTACCTGCCCACTCGTGGTGTCGTTCAAATCAGCATCACTCGAGCAGGCCTGCCCACTCGAGGAGCTAGGTGGAAGCAACAAACTTCCACCTGACAAACCAGACTTGGGCATGCCCAAGGCACTGGCGATTTCCCGGGGTTGAGTGCCTGCACTCAACCTGGAAAGTTTTGGCTCCGATCCATTGGACTGCGAGGACTGGCCCCTGGCCAGATCCCTTCTACATTCCGCTGTGACTTCCAAAGCACGTAGACGATCATTGATCGGAGCAAGGAGATCCATAACCTCTGATGAAACAGTTTGCCGGATTGAGCTTTCATCCATCTCTAATTGCGAAAAGAAGAGCTCAGATTTTCTAAATCACTTCGCGTCGAGCGGAAATAAAAAAGGCAACTGTAGTGATGTGGTTGCGTGATTTTATGTTTTCATGCTGTGAAGTTCCGGTTGGATATTTATGACATCATAGGCAACACACTGTTATATCGAAGCTTGAAGCTCCGATGCGCAAGCATGGATGATCGGCCGCTGAGTCGACTGCTTTTGGTCCGAGAATGCTGCGTGCAGCGTTCGGCCCGTATTTCCAATCGAACATGGTCGAATAATCGGTCACATGCTCATGCATGCACAAGTCAACTGGTCATGCATACACCGGTCACATGCTCATGCATACACAAGTCACCTGGTCATGCATACACCGGTCACATGCTTATGCGTACACAGGTCACCTGGTCACCGTCCCGGCAGGTTACAACTTACAGCCTGTTTGAGCGGGATTTCTGTCACTCGAGTGGAACTCGAATTGAACCTTGGTGTGAAAGTTTGCCCGACAGGCTAAGTGAACACAACAAGGATATAATACGAAAAGCCAAACTCACCTGCAGAGTTAAGGCTTATCTTTCCCACACGTTGTAGATAGACCAATACCAGCACACCGACTACCACGGCGACTGCAAACAGAGAACCCACTACCGTACCGGCTATCGCGGCTTTGCCTACCTCATCACCTGGGGACAAAAACAATGAAACAGAACATCGCAGTTAAATAGAGAGTGAGAATGGAACACATTTTGGCAGGATATAGAATTTCGTAAAAAACGTGATTAATGTGAATGCCGCAGACATCACCCCGCAACATGACAACTTCGTAGAGGTTTCACTATGTTTGTATGCAGAATTCTTTTTATAGCTCCGATCCTACGCGGAAATACGAGATCCGAAGAGATCAAATGAATGCACAGAGGTTACACAAATCCAAGAAAGTGTGACAGCTAGCGCTTATGTGTACTTCGAAGTGGGTACTACAACAAATGAGATAGAGGCTGAAGATAAGTGTCGCAAATGTACGTAATAAAGTGCAGAAACAACTTCTGAACAAGGGGATGCAGTTTCGCGAAAACATTATGTTACTTCGGCGCAAAGGTCTTGTCTCTGTGTCATTCGTGCGGTTGTCTGTTGAAAGTCGCTACTGGAATTATTATACTCTCGTGTTCCGAGGTGTTTGTGTGCTAGCAGGGTGGTGGCGAAGGGAACACTAGTTCGTCACAATCCCGGACAGCATTTTGGCACCCAACCTGGAGCACGAAGCCATGACCCTGAGATAAATTTGAGATCGACTCGCTGAAATGTTTACTCCTGACATTGGAAATTGGAAAGGTCCAATGAATGGGTATCGAAATTCAGCCAGGTTTTGCTAAAATAATATACAAAGATATGACATTTCGATAATACAGGAAAAAGGAAATCCTAAACCCAGATTTTACAGCCAACGAGATGAATGGGCGGTAGTTGAATGGCTACAAGTATCACCACTGTAAACAAATTGTCCCTCCAAATACTGGCAGACGCAGGAACATAGACAGCAATAGCAACAGCACCCAAAATGAAGAGCAGTTGGCGGCAACCAGACGTGAACTGGATAACGTGAGGTATGGAAGCAAGGACTGAGAACAAAATGTCTCAAATGAAAAAAAAGAGGTGTGCATGCTGATACCAGAAATAGGCCATGATTCAGTATCAAGTGGTACCGTCAGATTAATTTCCCTGGACCGAGTCAGCCGGGAAAAACAGCATCGCGCCGACAAACGCAGTAGCTAGGGAAAACGCAGAGTGTACAACCCCAATGCGGATTTCACATCGTGAAGGCAAGCACATCACAGCCAACAGTAGAATTAAGATACATGCAAGCAGAAAGGAAGCGTGGTCGCGCAGGGACACTGGTGAGACTCAAAACTGACGGAAATAGTCAGGAAAAGAAACAACGAGAAAGGATACACCAGATTCCCATGTTGCTACCGAAAATGTTGTGAGGAACAGCATGCCATTCAAAATCAAAATCAAAGCACCGAAGAGTGAAGGAGTTTCACTCACTTCTCATGGCAAAATTTAGATCTGATATTTGGCCAGGATTGCGACCAACCCTGCTAGATCAAGGACTTTCGAAAATCGATGCCTCATATTCCTGGTTTGGAGGCAACAGCGTTGTGATTAGGTAGAGGACCTCGGTGCCTATTCTCCAACTCCAGGGAGGTCCCTCGCTGGTGTTGATGTCTGGAGTTTGATAGGTGTTTCTGGGGAAGTACCTTGTTCATATTGACGTGTTGAGTTTGTTAGGGGTTTCTGGGGAAGTCCCTTGTTCATATTGACGTCTGGAGTTTGATAGGGGTTTCTGGGGAAGTCCCATGCTGGTGTTGATGTCTGGAGTTTGATAGGGGTTTCTAGGGAAGTCCCTTGTTCATGTTGATATCTGGAGTTTGATAGGGGTTTCTGGGGAAGTCCCTTGTTCATGTTGATATCTGGAGTTTGATTTGGGTTTCTCGTGCTGGTAATGATGCATATGGCACTATGTCTGCATACCTTATAATACCTGTACATGTACTGTATCTTCCTTAGTAAGAGCCCAGAGTTCTTACATTTTTGTAAGTGATAGCTCTACCAGGACTACTATTATAGATTGTGCTACTAGTGGAGACTGTGGTTTCGTGTGTTCATTGCTCCTCTACCAAGCCCACCCCAGTAGCTGAAGGTTGTAAGCGACCATATCCAGATTATTTTAAAAAACTAAACCCGAACGGAAATTGTCCCAATAACATGGACACCAGAGAGGAAGTACTCGTTATAATAACGTCACAAACATGTGCTTGGCATTGCGTACTGTAATTTTATCTATGACGCTACTTTATACCCAGCTCATATTAACCCCCACTAATTCCTGTGATCTATAACTGGTGAATATATCTCCATATTCACCACTTTAACTTGGGGTATATACTTTGCTATATTACCCACTTAGAGGTTGTAACTTTTCAACTTTCAAGGGACTTAGAAATTTTCTCTCCAATTGAAAAAGAAAAAATTGAAGAGAAGAAAGAAGTTTCAGCAGGAATCGAACCTGTAACCATAAGATTCCCAAGCACCTATCTTGACCACCCAGCCACCAGGGTGTTGATGCAGATGTTGGTTGAAAGATAGGTCTTAGGTCTGGGACACGCAATGCTACCAACACATAATAGTATACTGTAGTATACTGGGATACTAAAATAGCTATTTCGGACCAGTATTTCAAGCCAAAAACGAAGCTAGGTATAAATAGAATAAACACCTCTGTCTTGTGTTTATGGGAATATAAACGCTGTCTATAAAAACCTCGGCTACGCCTCGGTTTTTATAGCAGTGTTTATATTCCCATAAACACTACGACATCGGTGTTTATTCTATACGTAAAAGCCATGTACATTATATAACGAAGTGCTAACTCTAACGAATTAACGAAGAGAAATCTGTCGTTAAAATAGAAATCGTTATACAGAAATCGATACATTATGCTGTCCTATTGAGCGTTGAGAATGAGTGAGAATCGTCACCTTTGGTACACGTAAACTAGTCAATTTTGGGAAATCGTTATATATGTGCCTCGTTAGAATAATGGCTTTTACAGTACCTAAATTGTCGTAAAAGTCACCACTACTACAATCAATAATAGGAAGTATAATAAGAATGGTCCTAATTCCTGCTAACACATAATGTCATCATAGGTATTAATATTGCACGATGAACAGAAGAGAAAACAATAGAATTCTGTTTCTATTAGTTCTAGAAGAGAGCCATGCAAGTAGATTGCACACATCCAAATGTACGTACACTTAGGAGGTGACGGAAATCCTGCTGGATCCAGACATTCAGAAGCAAACGTGGCATTCAGTAGAGTGTAGCCACCCACACAAGTTATGCTGTACTGGTTGAATTTTCCATCTTTTCCTGGTAGCAGACCCTTCACTGTGGCGTGGCGTACTTCCGGTAGTGAACACAGGGCTGCAGGGTTGACAGAAAGAGATCACAACTAAGGCTTCAATGTGTTGAGTAACGAAAAGGGATCTCACTCCCAGGCACAATGGACAACGAGCACGGGCAGGTGGAACGGCATTTATTATGGGAGACGAGGAGACGGAGACAAAGGCGAACTAAAATACTACATTATGGAAGAGAGAGACAGATCGAGTCGGAGAGAATGCAAGATAAAGGGCCTGGGTGGCTATGGCAAATATGGGCGTGCAAGTAGCTACCCAGACCAACAGAACGAAAGGTGGGTACGAGGGTAAGCACAGCATGCAGGCCAGCTTGGGACAGGTTGTAGATTGTACAGGAGGAGGTATCTAACAAATGGTATGGATGAGTGGACACATGTATTCCATATAATTTTCTTGTCTATGACCACCGCAAGGCCCTGCATCTGCGGTTGGAGTTAGTCACGAGAGGTACCTGTTTCCGGTCCTGCCTGGGAGTTTTTTTGGCTTGCTATTACTCACTGTTAACTGGGAACTTGTGGCCACAGCCAGGCACAAGATTCATGGATGCAGCTATGGGGTATCGGCAATTGTGCAGATGGTGGGGAAACTGATCCCCTCACCACCACCATTGGGAGCTGCATCTACTGCTGGGTTGACCGGGTGTTAGCGGCCATCGTGCATTCTCTCGAGAACGGTCACGATAACTGACTCGCCATTGAGGGTTTAGGCAACATAAGCACACCTGGAGCTGGCAATGTCAGGCTTACGAGAGTTGATATGAACGTGCACTTTGCCAATGTTACTCATCACTAGGACTATGATGCATGGCTGTGGTGGATCCTCTGCCAAAGATCTGAAGCGCATATTGCCTACCCCCCCCCCCCCCAAAGAGTACATAAACCAGAGTGTGGAACTCGGGATGGTTCCTGTGGGAGCGTAATTCGTGCAGTACGTCATTTCTGACGGCATGGTAAGCCACAGGTACGGTGAAAAGTTGCGTAACCAGTCGCGGTGGTGCAGGTCACTGAGTTTGTCCTGATTTCCGTTTTTTGATACGGATAGCCTGGTGACTTTACTCGTCGGTGGATGTACGCAGCGTACACAGTCACACAAAACACCGAAATCCTGAAACAGGACGTCTAAAATCAAGCAAACTTGGCTGATTTCCGGGCTATGAAACATGAAAATTTGAGCTGTACGCAAGTCGCGGCTTGGCTGACCTCATCAGGGTGACGTAGTGCACAAACTGCGCTGTTTCAGATCTGATATGCACAGTTGCACACTCTGGTTTATGTACTCTTGCCCCTCCCCATAAAAAACCCAGTCGAGGTGATTTTACTGCTTCTCAAGCAAGTTGTACTGTGGACATTGAATCATTCGGCAATGATGAAATCAAGAATTCACTAACTCCAATCTAGCCGCCTACATGTTCATATCTAATCTGAATCTGAACAATTAATCACAGCTTCTTTGGTGACAAAGATGCTAGCAACCCAGGAAAGAAGATGAACTTCATTACTCACGTTATGGTCATTCATGAAAAAAAAGTTAAAAACCCTCTCCCAATAGTCCCAATAATTATTTATAGTGGAAATGTGTGTTGCTCCCTACATGGGAGCTGGCGGTTTTCCTGCGGACTTGAATCCTCACTTGACTGATTCACGACTGCCATCCAGAGCACATGAGAAGTCCATCGAATCGTCCACTCTGCATGGGAGTGGTGCTTTCTTGCAGGTTTGCCGATTGGAAGGTTCGATGGACTTCTTGTGTGCTCTGGATGGCAGTCATGAGTCAGTCAAGTGAGAATTCAAGTCCGCAGGAATTCTTCGCGCTCCCATGTAGGGAGCAACCGACTCAATTCCCCAAGCATCGCCGAAGTCGCACCAACCTCTTCTTCACAATATATTTATAGTAATGAAAAAAGGACCAAGGAGATACAGGTTACGCTAAATGTCCACTAACACCACCAGTTACTTAACAATCAGCACTTGATTTTGTCACACACAATCCGGTAGTGTTTTTGTTTTAAAATTTCAATCTCTGTGACATGCGCCAGGGATGAAGACGATGGTCACAGATACCGAAACGGGGAAAAACTACCAGATTGCGCATAACAAATGCAGTGCTTTCTTGAGTGGGGCCGAGTTGTCTTCAAACGTGAAATACATTATAATAATAGTGAAGCTGCACGAGAGGTGCTTCAGAAATTTCATACGAGTCTAATAGATTACTCCTTCAGACCTTGATTGTAGTCTGGAGGCAATGATTTGGGGCCATCTAATTTAAATGCTGAAAACTGCACAGCGCTGAATTATATCCATGGTTTAAGAACGGTACCTTTGCAAGGAGGAGGCTCAGCAAAGCCGGCAGGAGTCCGGCAAAGAGAGTCATAGGTATCGTTGGCCAAGATGTATCCGACATCACATTCTACACTAAACTTGTGGAATGCTTCATTCGACGTGAGAGACAAGCCAATTGCTTTTCCATTTTGTATATCTGGTAGGGGACAAAGGGCTGCATACAGATGACAGGAAAGAAAATTAAAATTAAATTAGTTGGAGGGTATTAAGTGGATAGCGTGATATGCAAGCCAACGAGTCTACACACGATGAAACAGTTCTGTTTGTGGATTGAGTAAGGGGCCGTCCGGGGTTACCGATAGTTTTTGCAAAACGAAACGTTTTAGTATTTTTCACCCACCTACCTTTTCTGCAGGTAAAACGAATTCCAATAAAATATTGATGTCAATTTTCGACACCCAGAAGTGACTGGGCATTCTCCATCGGCATTCAATAATTATTTTCAAAACGAAACTCCTTCAAACCCACCCACCCCCAAACGAAAACTTTTCGTTTTGAAAATACTATTGGTAACCTTGGACGGCCCCTAATTTGAGAGAATTGTTGAAATTGTTGAAATGTCATACTACACGGTGTACTAGGTTTCATCCTAGAGGGTGGTGGCGTTCCCACGGCGGATGCGGAAAACTCGGCTTCCAGCCGAGTCTCACGCGAACCGTGAAATTTATTATTATTATTTTTATTTATACCAGGTCCACACAGACAGTGTTGCACTAGTTGCAATCACGGACTTATTTTGGCCTTTGCATTCAGTACCGTTTGTTCTACAGGGTATGCATCTTGCCATTCCATACATTTACTAATAATTAATATTTGAAACTCGGATGCTGAGCCAATAATAAATGTAGAAAGGAAACATACATCGTAGTATCTAGTTTGCATTGGTGGAGAGTTACTCTTTGCTCTTATCCACGCGTCCTTTTCCTTTCTACAATAATTATAATAGTATTAGATTCATCCAGAAAGTGCAACAACTAGGCACACAACTGACAGAGTTCAGAGACATTAGACGACCTGACACCTACTTGCCCAAGTAGCTTCAACCCATCTCTGCTACGCAAGCCAACAGCCTTGCCTAGTTTTTGCACTTTCTGACGGTATAAAACTGCTTTTTATATGTCCCGTGCTAAATTACATTGCAATGTGTTCTTTGATGCTACCCCTACCACACACTGATGAGCCCATAACACATCACTAATCCATCTCCCTGATGCCCGAACTCTCAACGCTTCCCTCTCTGTATCTCCGTATCTCTTCCCCTCTCTTTCTCTCTCTCTCTCTCACTCTCTCTCCAAGCTCCAAGATCACGCGCTCCAAGATCACCAATGGAAATGTTGGCAAGAAGCCGGCCAGTAAAACTACGGTGAATATCTATGCAATCCTTTCCAGCAATGCCTTCAAGAGGAGTACAACGGGCCGGTGGGTTTTAACCGCAAGTTAGCCAGAAGATTATTCATGACTGTTCCTGAAGGATAATTGGTACACAAGTTCTTCACAATGTATGTTGCAATGCTGTGTTTTGAGACACATGAAATAGCACCACACGGTGAATTTCTCCTAATCAGGACACTGCTAATCCGGGCACGTCTGTCCAACGGGTAACTTTCTCACCCACAGGGAGTCACAAAAACTGACCCTTGAACGAAAAAAAAACACTCCAAACACTCTAAACACGCCATGAGGCAACAATCGTTTCAGGATATCCATCAACAGTACTGGATGAATCGACACGTCACGGAACGGTTTTATTGATATGAAACAAAGGTTGTAACACGTTAGTGACTGTTCCATGACATTGATTGATTGGAAGAAAGAATGATGTTGGTGGGTTCTGAGTTGCGGCAATTTATAGTAACAGGTCTCAACCTGGCCGGATTATGCAAGGGTTCTCATATCTATTTTAATGAGACAATCAGTCTACAACAGTACCTTTGCATGTTGGAGGTTCTGCAAAGCCTGCAGGATTTCGGCATTCAGAGTCAAACGCACGATTTGACACGGCGTACCTATCAGCACACACTACGCTGTATCTGTTGTATGTTGCGTTTGACCTGAAAGACGAACCAATGGCTTCTCCCCGTGAAATGTCCGGCAAAGGACACAGAGCTGTACGGAAAGAAAAAGAAAAGAGCACCACAGTTTTTTTTAAACACTCCACCACTCCACTCTATGCACTTTACCTACATTTACAACACCATAGCAAGGAAAATTGTTCTTGGGTAGATGTTGCACATCCTCTGGACACCTGTTTCACTCATCAAGAGCTTCTCAGTGGAGGTAGATAACCAATCTATGGAAGGTTAAGGAATCAACTGCTGGTAGGGAAAGTAGAGAGTGAAGGTCTACTTCTACCTATTTTGAAACTGTTGAAAGATATTCGACCTGTATGCCAATGGCGGAAAACCCATCTGACACAATGGCAGTCAACACACACAAACACATACACACGCACGCACGTACACACACACGCATGCACACACACACACACACACACACACACACACACACACACACACACACACACACACACACACACACACACACACACACACATCTTTAGACAGTTGACCTTTTGATGCCCATGATTGCGATGCTACAGCGGAAGCCATAGCAGCTTGTGCTGGGATTGCATCATACAACCGTTTGCAAGACTGAAGAATTGACCACCACTAATCAGCCTGCTCTACACCACACAGCTGTGAAGTGGTTTTTTCTGGCCAGTGAATCAATACTTTTTGGTCTTGGTCATATTTTTCCATCCAGGAGAATGAAAGAAAGGCCAGGAGGAGTCTGAGCAATAGAAGAAAGACCTGTGTGACCGTAATCGTCTAGAATCAAACCCGCAACCTCTCGATTGGAAATCGCTGCTCATACCGCTGCACCATAATTATGGGATACACACACGCACGCCCCCCCCCCCCCCACACACACCCAAACACACCCACGCGTTACCATCTAGCGCTCTTTCCGTCAGCAGTGCATTCAAGACAAACAGCGAATTGCACCACGGGGGGGGGGGGGGGGGGAGGAGGTTTCAAGCGCCATTCATGTTTGCAGCAAAGAGATTTTTCATATGCTATTTTCCAGCCTGTGTTTACACATGAGTATGCCAACCATCCTACTAATATCAATGAAGCAACGGTTAACAAGTGAGCTATCGATGACTGAAGGAAGCAGGGGGGTTCCCCTGTTACAGAATAGGAGGTGGCGACAAAGACTGGAACGGTTCAACGCAACGTATAATCAGAATCATTTGTCGAATTACGGTAGTTGTAAAGTAGTCAGTTGATCTCCGAGCTACAGCGAGTGCTCAATGTCAAAGACTGACACAGCAGACTCAGCGGAGGACGTTCAGGTGTACTGTAACTCTGATTTTCATGCCGCTAGGCAGTCAGCAGACAACTGACTGCCTAGCGGCATGAAACTTAGAGTTACAGCAAACCTGAACGCCCTTCACTAAGTTTCCTATGCAGTGTACAATACTATACAAATTTCGGTGTATTTTCAGGTTTGGCTTGATCCAGTTTCAAGTTGCACTTACAATTTGTAGAGGCATTGCGTACTAGGAAATTCTCTCTCTGGTTATTTGTTCAGGAGGGCATGTCAATGCCTTTTCCCTTCGAACTGTTGTGCACTATTCCCTATGTACGTGCTATGGATCATGTTTAAAATTCTAAGTTCGGTGTGTTATGGTTACTTTCATACTTCGTACTTTTTCGACCCACAAAAATGTCACGTCTGTCACATACAGTAATATTTCCTCATTTCTATACCCAAACAATTGCTGTCCTTGTCGTTTGGTTTTTGGTTTCTTTCTCTAGAAGAACTCTCTGATGAGATGTAGTCTACATTTATATTCGTCTAAATAGTGTGGTATTATTATTATTATTATTATTATTATAGGCTTTTCCGCGTTGGCATCGCTAAGCAAGCTTGGCTAGCCTTCGCATAAGCTGCTCCATAATGATGAGACGAAACAATGAATGCATGTATTATATACGATCTAGGACAGAACCAAGGTTGCGGAAATAGTGTGGTAGGCATGTTCAAGTTTAGGTGCTTTGAAGCCCCATCATGTCCTTCAAGAGATATTCACAACAAGATCTTGGTCAGGTATGTGGCAACACCAGGTCAAATAAAATCTTCTTAAACACATGACACGGTTACATCCATACGTTTGCAGCAGGTGTCGCTCATTGTGATATTATCAATGTCGATGAGTGAAGTACCTCGGTATTGAATATTGAGCTGTTGGAGATCGTAGAAAGGCAAAGAAAATGCGAATTGTAAAAGAGGTCGGAGGCTGATAACAATTTCCAAACGAACGCAGGTCCACAACAAGGAATACATTGATTCACGCAAATTTACCCATCCATTCAACAACGCACGCCACATAATTATTGTATCAAACTTCTCTGTACTATCCTTGTTTAGAAGGTAACGGAAACCTCCGATACAATAATGACAATCGCCTTCTTGGCTGGACGTGTAAAATTGGCGTGAATGCTTTCGAACCTACCTTTGAAAATTCGAAATATTTTACTTTTTTCTAAACAATCAACGTGGAGACAGTACTTCAATTATTGCTATAAATAGTATTTTTTTTTCTTTAGTATAAAGAGATGCAGACATTACTGATCACCATGACATCGGATGTAAGATTTGCAGATTGACAATTTTCGTGCTCCGCTCTTCAGTGGAATGTACGAAACGGAGATGGATTTAAGAGGAACAATGCATAATCGCTGCTGAAATAGTGAGTTAGGAAGCCTGAAGAAAATACTGAACGGTCTCTGCTGGGATGATACCTACACCATAGCTCAGCGGTTAGAGCATCGCTGGCCTCAAGCGAGGGTCCCTGGTTCGAGTCCTGGTGGTGCTAGTCAATTTTTTCTTCAGGCTTTTCCTGTTTGCATATTTCCCTCCAGCAAGTGGATGTTGAGCTACTTTTTAGTATCTATAAAACAGATAAGACCACACGTTTTTATTTCTATGGTTCTCGTCACCCGAAAATCTAAAATCGTACGCGAGACGTGGAAAAAAATGGCCCAAAAAATAAAAAAATTAAGTGTACTAGAACATTGGCCATACCGTAAAATCCCGCCAGAGCGCCCCGTCTCTTCCATCTGCCCCTCCCTGAATTCTTGTCAGGGACGTGATTGATTGCATCCTCGTATGACTCTGTTACAGTCTGTGATGCCGTACTGTACTGCAGACGCGTGCTCAACCCCGTTGGAAATGTACGCAACAGTGCCCACCCTCTTGACCAGGGATAGCACAAACCCTGAGTTTTTGATGGGTCTGTACGACTCCTGGCTCTTGACCTTTGGTCGGTGTACGAGATGCACAAACAGTTTTCGTAGGGTGAGTACTTTTTCATGTAGCACTGAATGCGGCAAGTAGGACTCGCCCATCCTCCCCTCCCCGCCTGAAGGGTCGAGGATGTAGGGGCGCTCTACAAATCGACCAATACACCATGGAAAATAGCATCCGCAGTTGGCAACTACGAAAGGTAGGAGGTTCTGAAGTTCTGTGCAAGTGCAGCTAGATTGCGCAACAAAAACTGCATTCAGTGTACTGCACTGTGTTGCATGGGCTGGTCCCCACATGCACAGACTCAGTCAGTGCTGGTTCAGCACAGTTCTTATTTGTTCCTTCCAGACTCCTGAATTGTATGCGCGCGGGTGACGAGAAGCATAGAAATAAAAACGTGTGGCCTAATAGCTAAACTGCTGATAACGTTAGGCAAAGCAGTGGGATTACCTTGTACAAGGTATAATTCTGAACACATTGAGGTCGGACGGTAAAGGTAGGCACTTTATTCGGGATATTTCAGCGGTAGTTGCCAGCGTTGGATATCACAAAGTCAAATACAATTTTTTTTGTTGAATCCTTGAATCGTGGTTTGACCGTATTGTCCGATTGCCTTGCCAGTATCGTCATCGACATGCATGAACATCCGCCAACGTCCTTCACAGCTGAGACTTTCAGCTCGTGCTTATGTTGGTTGGCTCACCTTCCCCTCCTTATGTTATTTTTTATATATTTCGAGTTGGAGAGCTGTTGGAGTGCGCATCCAAGATGTGCTAGAGCAGTTAGCCAGTTGGTTGTAGAACGTCAGTACCGTCGGTCAGTGTCGTGCAATGTTATCGCATGAGCTGATTGTTTAGTAACTGGTGGTGTTAGTGAACATTATAGTGCAACTTGCAGTTCCTTGGTCCTTTTTACTTTTTATCAATAGAATCATGTAATGAGAAAAGGGCCTAAACGTTAAATTAATAGTCGTAACTAGTAACTTTCAGGTCCTTTTCTCTTTACAAATCGCCTTTGTATTCATTCTGGTCTTGATTTCAATGCAACAAATTGATCAGGTGTACCGACTTGTGGTAGCAGCCATTGTAAGTGCAAACACAAGAGAACAGTACGAAATAGTGGTTGCGACTTCGGCGATGATTTTGTTTAGGAATGGGTTTGCTCCCACACTGGAGCTCGCGGCGGAATAGCGCGAGCTCCAGTGTGGGAGCAAACCCATTCCTAAACAAAATACAAGACGGCTTGCTTAAAAACTCACTTTGTATTCGACATCCAGATTGATTTCTTGTGATGTCACTCTTTTCCAGGAATTTGTTTTGTTTGCGATATGTAATATCCTTTGTGTCAGCGACCGGTAATTGGGGTCGGATGGTACTACGAGCATTGTGAAATTGATGGCCGCTACGTCACTTGGTTGTGTCCTGTAGGACAATGTGACTGTGCAGCCATATCCATTTGGGCTACCGAGCACTCTTGAACTAAGACTGGCAGGCGACATCCCAGAACCGTCAGCGCGTGCATAAGATTCTGAATGGGACATGAAATATTAAAAAACAGACGGGCGTATCAACGGCGATTTCAAGCCTCATCTTTTCGGACAATTGAAAAGGTGCAAGGAAAATAGGCCACCAGCATATGGCTGATTGTCTCTCCCAAAACGCAAACCCTTCAAGGCCGGTGTGAAAACAGTAAAATGAGAAAAACATGCCACACCACCAGGAATTAATTAAACCTGTCACCTTGCCATGACCCTTATTCAAGGTGATTGCACATTAATTCTTCGATCAATTTTAATTTCAATACAGTAAAGCACTGGTGTAAGCGACCTCTGGGTTTAGCGACCACGTGCTCTTAACGGCCGTTTTTCCATGCACCCACAGATCTAGACACACACTGTGGGACCTGTTTCTAAAGACCACCTGACTTAAACGACCGCTTTTGCTTGCACCGTGGGGTGGTGGCTCAAACCAGGTTTTACTGTGGTATGAAACCAGTGAGTATGTTCTGACCCTTTTGCTCCCTGCCTGATAGTTTGTACGTGAAGTGTATGGGTTACATTGAGGGCTGCGTCCCACCTGCCGGTGTGGAGTTTACGAAGTTTTCTTCTTCTTTTTTTTTTACGTAAGGTAGCTCGATAAGAAATCAAAAACTCGCCTTCTGCGCACCCTTCTGCGCATCCTTCTGCGCAGGTCACCCCGCGCGCGCGCGCGCGCGCGCGACCCAGCACGGGATCTGCATGCACGCCCTGCACTAGCTGGCCGTGCATGCAGTGGACTCAGTGTACAGTCAGTGTAGATACATGTATATCTACGACTACTTTCGACTAGAAGACTAGCTGCATCATGCATGCAGCATGCACTAGCTGGCCGTGTTGTTGACTGAGATCTTTGTTCTTGTTTTGTTTGGTCGATCTGGCTATGCACACCCAGCAACAGATAATGCCGGAGCATTTCTGTCAGGTCCTTTCTCTTTTCATACTCACATAAGATTAGTTAGTGTCGTGACATATGAAGACGGGGCTGCATAGCCATGCCGCTTCAAGTGGAGCGCAGCCGATCTGTGAAGCGCATGGGGTCGAAGCGTAAGGCGAAGGACCAGCTGGCGAAGTCTCCAACGATGCAACCCGGCACTGGTGAGTGCCCGTCTTGAATTTTTTGTTTGTTTTCGTCTGGGAATTTTGAGGTGCATCGCGATACAATAGACCAATCCCGAAAAGATTGTCTGGGTTCGAAAGGGGGCATGTCAACTGAGAGTACACTGTACAACACATACATGGCACTACCTGATCAGCATGCGGCACAGGACGTGTTTGATAGTTCGCGTGTGACTGCGAGGGTAAGTACACGGTTTTCTCGTTAGTTGCATGCAAGAGAGACGATGCGACAGAAAGCAAAGCCCTTTGTAGTTTTCCCTCTCGCACTGGTAATGGTCTGCTGTTGGAGTGGAAATGCTAAGACATAATCCTTGTTTCGCTCTTCTGTGTAGTGTGAAGAGGTCAACGAACATGTAGAGCTCACTTTGATGAAGTAGGCAAGGCTGTGAGCGCTGTGGCTCAAAGCGATAGGCCCTAAATCTTATGAGATATTTCGAGTGGTATTGTTTGTTGCGAGCGCTTCGTCTTCGATGAGTCCTGCCTCTTTCCTGGCAGCTGCCCTCCTATAGGATCAACCACGAAGTGACTGTACTCATCTGCAGCCGATCAATGTTATATTGCACACGAAGATATCGTTTTCGCCAAGCCAGTGCCCCGCCAAAGACCATCGCCGCGTCACACCGTCGGAACGAGTTCATAATGAGAAACATCATTCGCGCGAGCGTGATGAAGAACTATTTCGAAAGACAACATAGTCTTTACCCCCGGGACGACAACTATGTGCACGTCCTGCAAGGGGAGAATGTCACCAGCGACATCAACGAAGACGACGGCAGTATTTCGGAAACCTGGAGTCAGCGGAGGTCGTCAAGCTCCGCGATCCGCGACCCGGTACATGTACAGTATAGGTGACATGTCGACACGAGCGGACGAAAACACAGCATACACTGTAGTAATGTTGCGAGAGTTTGCGGAAGGAGTCCAAGTCTGGAAATCCATCAGCTCCAAAAGCTACCTGTAGGTGGGCGATGAGACTCCAGCTTCAGACTACAACAGTCAGGACTTGTAAATAGTTGAACTTTGTGAAGCAGCAGATCGAGAACTTAGCTGAAATCGTGGCTGTTGCAGTATGTCGGCGCTATGTAGCTTGCATTTTTTACGGAGAGTCGATCGCCACGCGAATGTTTCTCTCCTCACCGAGAGCTATCTGGCCTCCAAACTCCGTCAGGGTCTGCCTAAGGTAACGAAGGTCCTTTGACTAGCTGCTGGCAGGACTCCATCAACTCCTTTAGCTTCAGCTCGGCAAGCAAAAGTCTCTCTCTCCTCCCCCATGAGCTGACACACACAAACTGAATACAAAACGATGCATTTCACACGTGCTGGCTTGCACGCGTGCCCCCTTTCACGAACCCAGACAATCTTTTCGGGATTGGTCTATTAGCTTACAAATGCCTGATGTTTTCCTGCGTCTCGACGTTGTCTTCTCCTTCTGCTACTGCATCAGCTGCCTGTGGGAGTTCTGTTCTCCAGCAGACAGGGGACTCAATCGGAACCATAAACAAGCGCTTGGAGACGGCTCATGAAGAGCTTGGCGAACCTGTTTTGCTGCCCGTGACGAGTGGAGAGTATGGCGATGAAACGCAGGGGGAAACAATTACCACCGGTGAAGAAGAGTGTGAGACTGGCGATGATTTAGCGAAAAGAGGTAAGCGTTGTCGTGTTTGTATCAGCAAATCTTCAGATAAGAGGAAAAGACTCTGCTCTCAGATACTAGTACCCCACTCCAAGATATTGAACAGGCGTTGACAGTTCATGTCAGTATAATGACAGGACAGAATACACCAGCATCTAGATATCGTCGGTGGTTGAAGTTTTTAGACTCAATACTGCAACTGTGCACACAAAAGTGCACGCGCACACACGCTCACATGCATGCATGCACGCGCACATATGCACACACACGCACACACGCGAAGGCACCATTGCCTGTTTGTTTGAACGACTATAAATATAAGCACAACACCAACAACACCACCAACAACAACAGATCACCCTCAGGAATAGTCCGCTTACCGGAGCACAAAAACACAAACACCTCGGAATAATCTTTCAGCATGACTTCCGTTGGACGGAGCATGTTGAATACATAGTCAAAAATCACTCAAGTCTTTCAATATTCTTTTTAGACTAAGGTCTACACTCACCAGTGATTCTTTATCTCACATCTATCAGACATACATACTACCTATATTCTCATATGCGAGCAATGCTCTCACACCGTTGTCACACACTTCCCTTGACAGGCTAGAACGACTCCAGCGGAAAGCCGCCAGAATATGTCTCCACCTTCCCCTTTACACACACTTAGAACACTCCCACCTTTTGCATCGCATCAAATGGCCAACATTATTTTCAAGCTTTAAAGTTTAACATTTAACATTATTCTCTTCGCGCATTCTCTGCGCCACAATTATGCCCCACCACATATACTCTCACTGCATACTGCTAGCAGCGTGCAACCTTCGTATAATTTACGTCGCTCTCGTACTTGGCACTTGCCAACTCCGCGGACTGATCGCTGTCTCCATTCTCCCCTGTACAAGGCCCTTCATTACTTTTTTTTAAAATTGCTTGCCCACCCAGCTTTGCGAAATCCCTTCTTGTACTCTCTTCAAATCCCAGATATCCCTGCTGTTGCACAACTCTGTATGCTCGTGTAGCGACCACCCCCTGCCCATACACTTAAGTAGTCATTAACCCCTAGGTTTTGCCCACCCAATTCTTCCTCACTCTTTCTCCTTTCTTACACTATTATCTCTTATTGGCCACTGGCTATCGTGAGAATAAAGATTTGAAACAACAACAATAATGTGTGCACATGCACAAACATGCATGCACACACAAACACACACACACACACACACACACACACACACACACACACACACACACACACATATGCGGATGTGCACACCCATGCACGTGCGCGCACACACGCACACACACACATCTTCACCAATTTGTAGGCGCCATACCATCGGTTTGATGAGAAGTCATCGGTGCCTGTACATCGGATGAAGTAAATGCTACACAGAAAAAGGAGAAGACAAAATGTTACGAGTTATGACTAACTGTCTACCAACGCAATCAGATCTTATACAGTCAGCGATTGCGACAAAATGGCACAACACTGACAAGGAGTACTGAGACAAATAACACTAAACCAGGAATCGTCAAACAACTTACGACAATCCGGACTGGACACCAAATGCTTGTAGATGGCAGACTTGCTCTTGTCGATGGCATGAGGAGATGGAGATGGAGGATGATGATGGGGATGAACAGGATGGTCAGGAGGAAAGCAAGGGTGAGCAGGAACAGGAAGTGGAGGATGAGAGTGATACGGACGAGGAGGAGTTCGACATCGACAAGAGCAAGGCTGCCATCTACAAGCATTTGGTGTCCAGTCCGGATTGTCGTAAGTTGTTTGACGATTCCTGGTTTAGTGTTATTTATCGCGCGCGTTTCTTTAAGCAGTTGCAGGTGTTGGAAGCTGTATATATTCGCACACGTGACCCTGTTCTATGCCAGCAAAAAGAAAATGTTGTAGCACTCACACTTTTTAAATAATACGCACTCACCAGTTTTTGTTCACACGCACTCACAGCTGCCACATTCATCTACTGCTACCATTCTCAGATACACTGCAAAGGTTCACACTACACGCGTTATGCATAACCGCTAGCTGTGCTGCATTCTCACACTTCTTTTCATATTACTCTAGCTATATAACTGGTTGTTTTAGTGATTCTTACTATGTGACGATGTTCCACTGATGATGGTCACACGAAAACGTTCTGGAATTGTTTCATTTTAATTGTTTATACATGGTTATGAGTGCACAATTGATATTTTTCATTGCTATTGAACAATCTTCGGACCAAGTTTTTCCTATTGAGCTAATAAGTTCACATTCCCAACTCATAAATATATCTCTTATTCTCACGGGTGGAATGGGTGGTGGGGAGGGCAAATACTCAATGACGCCTCAATTCTCGGCTTGGTGGCTCAGTGATGTAGCCTGAGGTCGCAAGCTAGATGTGTGTCAGGGATCGTTTGACAGCGATGATGTGTGCAAAGAGTAGCTGCTTGAGCTTCCTGTGGGATGAGAGGGTTGGCCAAGTGACCTGGTGGAGTAACGTGGTGGAGTAACGAACTGTGGTGGCAAGGACTGAAGAGGGGGAGTCGGAGGCAGAGTTTTGCTGACCGCCGTTGGAGACGTTCGAGGGCATCTTGTTGCTGAACATTCATAGCTGACATAGCCAGAGAACCATGTTCAATAACAGGGCGTACATATGTGGTGCACAGTGCCGACAGGGCAGTGGGTGAAAGCCGCCTCAAGAGGTGGAGAGTGCGCGCAACTTTGCTCTCGATGCGCCGATGTGGGCATTCCACTTCAGGTCGGCCATGTTCGCTGGACCAAATACGGAAGGAGTATTGTTGGTCGACGCATCAAATGCGTTCAACTCGCTTAATCGTCAGGCCGCACTCCATAACGTTCCCCGCATTTGCCCTGCTCTAGGCAAAGTGTTTGCCAACACCTACAGCTCGCCAATTTGCCTTTTCGTTGCTGGTGGCAGTGAGATATTGTCACAGGAAGGGAAATGCCAAGGGGACCCATTGGCAATGGCAGTGTATGCTGTTGCCACAGCACCTCTGGTGAAGCACCTGGCAGCGGCTTGCCCGTCGGTCGTCCAGTCTTGGTATGCAGATGACGATGCGGCGGCGGATAGACTCCTGCAGCTCCGACAGTACTGGGATACTCTCGAACAGGCTGGCCGCGGATATGGTTACCACGCCAATGCAGCCAAGACCATCCTCGTTACGAAGCCAGAGCACCTCGATCGAGCGAGAGAGGTGTTTGACGGTACCGGGGTGACTATATCAGCCGAAGGAGCCCGATACTTGGGCGGTGTGCTGGGATCGGCCAGGTATACCGAAGAATGTATATCCGCAAAGTCGCGTTGCTGGGCACAAGAACTCAAGTCTCTGGCTGGACTGGCGAGGACCCAGCCACACGCGGCATACGTGGTATTAACCAAGGGTCTGGCTGGCCGGTGGCAATACCATCTCCGTGCCACACAGCACAGCCCTGAGGTTCTTCAGGTACCTGGCCAGGTTATCGATTCAGAGCTTTTGCCAGCTCTCCTGGGCCATGAGTTCGACCCCAATAGCTCACAGCGGGAGCTTCTGTCTCTGCCAACGAGATGTGGTGGTCTTGCTGTGCCGATTCTGCCTGCCCTGGCGCCTGTGGAGTATGCGGCCTCAACAAAGATCACTGAGCCGTTCGTGTGCCTGATTGTACCGCCAGATACATTAACGCCTCCAGAAGAGGCACCTGCTGCTCCATACCAGTCCTCCACACAGCCTCTGACCGTTGCGGGCGCGGAACAGCCTCACAACGTTCGGGGCCATTCTCCCGGGTTGATTCTATCGTCATCTCTACCCGATGATTTCCGCCTACATCCTGTACCACGGCCGGGGATCACTAGCCTGGATGACGCAGCCGGAGGCTCGGGCGCCGATGTTACCCTTGATGTCATCGGGGATGTTCGGCGGCAGGCACGTCAGTCACGTCAGCAGCGGCAAAAGAAACAGGATGAAAGAGTGGCACAGTTGCGCCCCATGCTACCGCCGGCGCAACAGCTTTTGTTGGAAACGGCTGGTGAGAAGGGTGTTTCAAATTGGTTATCCTCCATGCCGTCTTTCATAACGCCCAGTTCAATCCTGAACAAATCGGATTTTCGTGATGCTGTTTGTATTCGATATGGTTTGTCATTGGAGGGAGTGTCCAGTTCCTGTATTTGTGGGCAAGACATGACAATAGATCATGCCATGAGTTGCCCGGCGGGTGGTTACCCAATTGCAAGACATAACGAGATCCGGGACATTCTGTCAGAAGCTATTCGGGAAATACTACCAGATGTGGAGAAGGAGCCTCTTCTCAAGCCGTTCGAAGGAGAAACACTACCACATCGAACTGCGAACCGGTCTTTGGAGGCGCGTCTGGATATCAGGGCGCGGGGCTTCTGGATCCGGCAGCAGGATGCCTTTTTTGATGTACGGGTAACACACCCGAAGGCAAGCCTGCTGTCGCGTACAGACGTCCTGCGTCAGCTGAAGACCCATGAACAGGCCAAAAAGAGAGAATATTGTGCCCGTGTAAATATTGTAGAGAGAGCATCATTTACACCGTTAGTTTTTTTCAACTTCAGGCATGTGTGGGCCAGAGGGGTCTCGTTTTTTGAAAAATTTGGTATCGCTTGTTGTTGAGAAAAATCCTGAGTTACATTATTCTGTAGTCATGGGACAACTTCGATCTGTATTGTCGCTGTGTTTGCTCCGCTGGTGTATTACTTGCATATGTGGTTCGCGGGCATCATACAAGCGCCAGCGCCACAGCTTTTTAACAAGCTGCCATACCCTTAGAGCACGTTGATGTGTACGGGTGTCTTATGTTTGTTCTTTTATTTTCCATTATGAGCCGGTCTTCTCCGATTGGTGGCCCCATGCCCCATGCTCATTGTGTTCAACTGCACTTTGCGTTCCTTTTTATATTGAGTTCCAGTGCACTTTGTGTTCATTTTCCTCTCTTTTTTCATTCTATTTGAATTTTGATGTATTGCGTTTTTGCTTGCCCGTACAAGAGGCTGTTGAAATGATGATGATGACATACTAGAAATGGAAAAGGTGAGCGAAAGACAAGCCGGGGAGTAATGAAGGGCAATCGCTTGCCTGTCCTGTAGGTTGAAAAAATTCGACTGGTTCGCGTACCGGGCAGGTAAAGAACAAGGAGTCGTACAACTCCCTGGTCAAGAACCACTTATTCGCTTCCGTGGGACGCAACCACCCCATGATCAGGTGTCAGATACGGCTCCTAAACGGTGGGGGAGGATAGATCAGATCCACCAACCATAGGCCAAAGGCCTAAATCCCATTTGCCACATCCATGTTTTACTTGTGCCAGGCCATGAGCTCCCAATTAACTGTGGGTCGCAGCACGGTTGGAAAAAATCCTTCCGCTTCCAAGCACGACTTGAACCTGGTACCTCTCGTTTCACAATCATGGTCTTTAATACACCAACCCACTGTGCCTGCGGTACGCAATTTTCAAAGATTACGGGGTAAAGTGTGATATGCCTCACCTCTTTGGGATGCTTGGGAAATTATGGACCAACCTGTGCTTGGGGTACTCTGATCCGTGAAATCTTGAAATCCATTATCAAACGTTACGGGAGATGTGATGGAAGTGCAGCCTGTACAAGACATGTGCAAACAAGGTTTTAGTTTTAGCACAGCTTCACCATAGCTCAGTGGTTGGAGCATTGCTGGCCTCTCGAAGTTCCCTGGTTCGAATCCCGATGCCGAAAGTCCTTCTCTTCAGACGCTTCCCATTTGCGTCTTTCCCTCAAACCTGTGAATAATATTATTACAGTACTATTAAGAGTCAATAGCCACTCTTAGCAAACAATCGTGGTGCAATTTTTTTACGGTACTCGAACCTCTGTCACGCAAGTAGCATTAAAGCCGAAAAATGTTATGGGGCCTGGTTTTTCGTTGTGACACAGGGTACGCTTTTGGACCAAATATTGCGTAGTGTGTACCCATCTCACCTTGTATCGTGTATATATGGCGCCATAAATGGTTGCACCGAGCGAAATAAAAACTATACTCATGGCAACAGCATGCTAAAGTTTGTGTGCATCTTGCTAAAGGTTGAACCCAAATCACGGTATTTCCCCCGTTACGGTAATACCGTTACAACAAAACACTTTTTGCTAAGGGTGTCTAATGTCTGTAGAAACCCGACATCATCCGACATGGCTAAATATCTTAATTCGCTCAAAGTTGGCTCCTTTTATCCCTAGCTGGACCTCATTCACCCACTATTGTATTGCTGTATTGCACTTATTTTACATCGCAAGTCAAACGGGCAATCATGCCCAATGTTATGATGACGATGGAAAGGGAGAAAAGATTAAGAACAAGATTAGTTATCCTGGATTATGGGGAGTGAAGAAAACGGTGAGTCTAGGAATCTCTCCTTAGATCATCAACATCGGTCATGAAAGTAGACTTTCAATGGACTATGACAGTTTGGTCCAGAAAACCTCCGTTCTTTAGATATCTACCAAAATAAAATAAAACTCGATAAAATACGAACTGAAACACCTTCCAACAAGATACGAAAACGAGGGCTCACTGCTCCTTATAACAACGCAGCTCTGCCAAACATACTATGTTCGCATACATATCCAAATTACCTAGTAATGTTTAGCTATCCAACTTTCGATTGGTGACTTGCTGGGTCCCTCGAACAAATCGATCCATTCCGCCTATCCAATGGCGGCCATTACGAAGTTCATCTTCAAGTGTTGTGAAATTACATTCGATTATGATTTACACATGCTGTTGTATTTGGTTCTTTTCTCGTAGAGTCCAGGGTCTGATGTCTTATACCTTGGTACGGTGCGGAGGGCCTGTTTTCAGCCAATCAGCGCTCATCTAGCCATGGTTATATTGGCCAGTATCGAATATAAATCCCGGTGCATGGTACGTACGCAAGGGCACTGCCACCGTACGTGTTCATTGCCTGAAAGGCAGTGAACTTGTACGGCGGCAGTACTCCAGTGCACAGACCATTCACAACAGACACAATACACGCCACATGCACGTGTACACTCCACACAGAACGGCATTACTGACGAGGAACAGTACACAATGGAAAAGAAGAGTGACCTGGAATTCGTCTACAGAGTATTCTATCATACTGAATCTGAGGATAAAGAACGTCGAATAACCACGAAGTATCCCGAATGGATCAGCAATGTACATTGTACTTCGAAGAGTTGCAGATCATCAACAGACTGCCTCCTTCGTAACTAAGTTTATGATGCAGAGTGTAATTCAAAGTTCAAACCGATTGGAAAATTCTAGATTGGATTGAAATGTGACACAGTGATACAAAACAGTGTATGCAAATGCAGCTACTTGCAAGTAAGCAAAACTGATTATAAGATGCAGCATGTGAAAATCAGCACTGTACCATAATTATAGTAACACTTACTCCCAAAGACTCCAAACTGTTGTCTAACGAGTGACGGTAGTTTGATTCAACGACAGCTCCAGCACCCCGGCAATTCAGTTGACTTCCGCACCGCTCACGAGACAAGATGCTACAATATGCACTGGAACTGAAAGGAAATCTAACCCAAACATCCGCGGAGGAATCTCCTTCTGATCTTGCTCGACCCTTCTTTCAATTGACAACTGATAACCATCAGAACATGTTCATGTACTGCATGATGTAGGAGATCTCCAGATAGGTTCGTTGTTCTGGAAATGCGTAGGGGTACCTGGCATAAGTAGGATATGACCCTCGTAGTCGGGATATTATTTATGCGTCTTCTGCACCATTTTTCCCTCCTTTCGGAGACACAGTATTTTTTCGCTTTTCCGGGATAATTCGATTGAAATCCGTACTGCGGACAAAACATCGTTTTCCGTAAAAAAAACGGACAAATACGGGCAATTGGTAACACCGGTTATACCGTATCCTCATATAAATCCCTCCTGCTATCGCAGTCGGGATTTATATTCAGCCGGTGTAACCCTCTGACTCGGGTTATATCCTCTACATATCATTATGGTCTAAGTGTACGTGCGGGAATGGTGTGATGTGTGACGTTTAAGGTATGTGGTGCATGCAAGAGTACGCATTGTCAGAGTGTGGGAATCTGCTTCCGTCTGTGTGAGAGTGACTGTCAAGTGAATGCTGTACATGCGCAGTGCTAGTTTGGTGTGGGAATGAGAGTCATGTGTGATTCGTCCGTGATCTGGTCGTCTTGGTCTTGGTCATGTGTGCTGTACGTATTAATTCCTGATTGATCGTCTCGATTTGTCGTCGCTTTTTCACTGCTTGTTCTTTGTTGTTTCTTGGTGTCGTTTGTCTCGGTCCTTTTCCTTGAGTCTTGTTTGCGCCTGTCTCCTCCTGCATCCTTGCCATCTCCTGCTGAGAAATGAAGCTATATTGAATCCCAACAGAACGACGTGTTGTTGTTTGACGGGGGCCAGGGAGAAGGCCATTACACAAATCAATTTGGTTTCACAAGGATCGGTAGCAGCGGGGTTTCATCCTGAAATTGGGGGTGGACCAACCACCAAAGCCTGCTGCAACAGGTCCCCAAGCACCTACAAGTGATAGTCTTAAATATAGTTATCCACTAAAAATCACTTGGGGGGAAAATTGAAAATTTCCAATTCGCCAACGGCTATGCACTAGCCGAATCCAACCTTCCATAGTTCCATCTGCTTCCGCTCGGTACTTAGGCATACTGGTTGACAAACATCTGTCTTTCTCAAACCAAGTGGATGCAGTATGTGCAAATGTCAATAGGAAGGTCGGTGCATTTGTCCATGCTAAGCAGGATATCAGCAGTTTTGCAAACGACTTTTCTATTTATCGATCATTCAGCCCGCCGCTTTGAGTTTGGCAGCACTGCATAATTATATTCATTGCTAATCACAAACCCTATATGACAAGCTTCTTACCGCCAGCCGCATAGCGTTGAAGAGAATATTTTCGTTGGATGGAATGACCCCTACCACTCTTCTATACAATCATACTAGCTCTTACGCCCTTGAGAAACGCCTCAACTTTAAAACCTATGTATTTGTTTACCGCTGCCTGAATGGACTTGCTAGTCCTCTTCTGCAAGACCGCTTTACCTTTAGCGCCCATGGTGCCCACACTGCGGCCACCACCCGTGGCCAAGTCTCTGCTGCTCTTGTTCTGCCCCTCGCCAACACTCGATATGTCTTCTGTGCAATTTCTTATTTGGGCGCTGCCAGGTGGAATACACTTCCACCGGCTTGCCGCATGTCTAGTTCACCAGCTGAATTTCGCTCACCCATCAAACTATACCTAGGGTTCCCTGTAAAAAGGCGCTGACGCCTGTTGGGATTTCCCTAGTAAAATAATAATAAATAATAATTATTATTATGAAGAAAAGAAGAAGGACAACATGTTACGAGTTATGACAAACTGTCCACCAACGTAACCAGACCTTATACAGTCAGCGAGTAATTATATTGGCTCACCATCCGAGTTAAATAATAATAATAATAATCAGGCGGGATGGACGAGACAGAGAGAGTACAGAGGAAGCGGAGGATGGAACGGACGGCGGAGGGAGCAGTGAGTCGGAGAGCGGTGATGGGAGTGGTGGTGAGAGTGCCGGTGAGAGTGTTAGTGTTGTGCGTAGGTTTCGTGGTAGCAAGTCTTCAGTGTACAATCATCTGCTGGCTAGTCCTGATTGTTGCGGTGCGTATTCCGACTCTTCGTTCACTGTATTGTGCCGTGGTCGTCATGGTTATGGACTACAGTTAAAAGTGTTGGAAGCTATCTATCAGCGTCTGTACAAGCCTAATTTGTGTGTACAGAAAGATAGTATAATTTGGTTGAAATTGTTCAAGTAACGTGTCGTGTTTAGTGCGGCCAAGCTTGGCCGTTAATGTTCTAGGTTTAATGTACTGCTGTTATGTGTTATCACGTTGTCTTTCCTTCCTTTCTCCTTTGTTCATTTCTCGCTTTGATTGTTAAAATTCACACTTGTAAATTTCACTGTTGTTGCTCTTAGTGTTATTTCTCTAACTTAGATTTTCTATAATAGTTCAATTTTTGTTTCAGTGTCCTTTAGTACAACGACGATTCCTGATGAGTGTTGTACGAAAACTTGTTTGAATCCCTTTCTTTCTCTACACAATTTCTTCACATTTTTCATCGTTTTATTACACATTGTCTCCACAGTTTTACAATACATGAATACAGTGTACACAAATGTCGATCCAGCTTGTATTACTGATTGCGGTAATAATAAGGGACTGTAGCTTTTGCTCGTTTTCGTTGCGCTTGCCTTCCCCTCTTTGGTCTTTCCATAACCTTGAACCTTCCAAGTTGGAAGGCTGTCGGTTAGCGCTACGGAGATGTGTTGAAGCTAGGTGTCAGGACGTCGAATGTCTCAGTACTCTGTCAGTTTTGTGCCTAGTTATTGCACTTTCTGACTGTATATAGTATCATGTTACAGTGATGGAGAGTTACTCTTAACTCGTATCCATATTTCCTTTTCTCTTCTACAATAATAATAAACTCAAAATTATGAAGGACGCTTCACGCAGCTTCATTATACTTGAATTGTTTGCAGGCAACCTGCCTACACTCAAGAGAGCACTGCATTTCACACAAATCCATTAGAGGTATCGTTACAACGTTTCGGTCTTTATGACCATCATCAGGAATGAAGTGGACATGGAAAGAACAGCAGTATAAAAGAGGGAGGCAAGCAAGCAAAGCGCGGTACATAGTGACAGCGCGCGCGTAGAGAAGTGCAAAGCACGTCACGGCGGGTGTGCATTGCTACAATCATGTACATGACAACACAAGCACAAACGGCGAGGAAAGTAGATACTGCGCTACAGCAGTGATAACAGCCCAGTTCCAGTCTCACACCACCAGTGAAGTGTGTAGAGCCCTGCGCCACTCGCAGTAAATAACAGCTGTATTCAATGCCGGCAAAGCGCACAGGTCAGTGCAACAACATCCCATGCATGATGCTAAAGGTAGCTGAGCAAGAAAGATGATTGTAGACCATGGTAGAATGTGGAAGAGCATACTCCATAAAAAGGTGGTAGCCAAGGCACGTGAATGCATGCATTGCCCACACACATGTGCCGAGTGTATCACCCAGAACGCATGCTAGAAGCCAATAAGGCCGCACAGGTGGTGTTATAGCAGATCCCAGCCACTGTTGTTGTTGATTTCCAGGGATCGCTCCCTGATGTTGATGGCCTCTCGGATCCTCCTCCTGGGGCGATCACGCTCAGAGCCAAGAACCCGGATACCCGAGAAGGCCGTTGCTCCCAATGGCAATGGTTCAGATGCATGCTTGGCCGCAAAATGCTCACCCAGCGCGGTGCCGCTCACTGTGTTGCGTGCGTCGTCGTTGTGTTCTTTTGTCCTGGTGGCGAGGCTGCGGTACGTCTCTCCGACATATTTATCACCACATTTGCACTCGAGGTGGTATACGACGTTTCGCTCTGTGCATGCTTCTGAACCGGACATGCAGGCGACACAAGCAGCTTTGGGCCGCCCCGTTTACGGGGCTTGGAAGGGTCTACATACCTGCGGCATGGTGGTTTGCGGAGGGCAGACGTGCAAATCATAGAACTTAGACGGCGGTTCCTGTAGATCAGCTGGGCATTTATCTTGTACTTCCGGAGAAATTTATGAATTTTGTTGTGGATTTACTCGGTGTGAAACGGCAGGTTGAGGGTGACACGGTATTCATGGATTTGTGTGAAATGCAGTGCTCTCTTGAGTGTAGGCAGGTTGCCTGCAAACGATTCAATAATAAACTCGTGGCAGGAAAGCACACAGGAAATCCATATACCTTTTGGCTTCGCTACCAGCACTGGGATGCCACGGGAATGATCCCTGCCCCCGCAGAAACTCGAATGAAGCCGCCAAGAAGCGTCATTTGCTGAATAAAAGCCCAACATGACGAGAATGAAGAACTCCTCCACAACAACAAAGCAGCAAGGACTGCAACAGAAGGCCAAGATGGCCCAAATCTACAGGGCAGCCAGTGCACGCGAGTTTCACGTGTGCATTGATGCCTCGTCGCATAAGTAGAAAATCACATGACTCTGAAAAGCAGACTATGGTAATGGTGTACTCCCAATGTCAGGACTTTAAACCCCGCTGCTACTGACTGGTCCTTCGAGACGGCCTTCGTAATGGCCACCATTGGAGAGGCTGAATTGATCGATTCGTTAGAGGGATGCAGCAAGTAACCAATCGACAGTTGGATGGCTAAACATTACTAGGTAAGTTGGATCGGTGTGCGAACATAGTTGGTTCAGCTGCTCCTTAGTTGTGAGCAGCAGTGACCTCCCGTTATTGTACCTTGTTTCAGTGAGTATTTTAGTCGAATTTTTATTTTATTTTGCACGATATCCAAGGAGCGGAGGGTCTCGGGACCAAACTGTCATTGCGGGTGAATGAAGTCCACGTAGGGATAAAAGGAGCCAACTTTGGGGGCGAAATTGGAAATTTGGCCACTTGGGGTGATGTTTGGTTTTTACAAACATTGACTCGTTTAGCAATAATATTGCTGCAGACAATACCATGAAACAAGCCAGCGTGTTT